CCCGAGTCTGCACTGAACACTGATCCCAGGCTCGGCCCACATCCTAAACTGAGTCCTGATCCCAGGCCCAGTCCCCATCCTAGACTGAGCCCTAATCCCAGAACTGAGCCCTTGTCCCAGGCTCAGCTTCCTATCCTGGACTATGAACGTCAGGTCCCAGCCCAGCCTCCATCCTAGACTGATCCCTGACCCCAGGCTCAGCTCAGACACCAACTGAGCCCTGCTCCCGGTTGAGCCCCAGTCCTGGCCTGAGCCCAGATCCCTGGCTGAACCCCGACCCTGACTGAGCCCGGATCCCTGGCTGGACCGTGACCCTGACTGAGCCCGCCCCTGGTTGAGCCCCAATCCTGGCCTGAGCCCGGATCCCTGGCTGAACCCTGACCCTGACTGAGCCCGGCGGATCCCTGGCTGAACCCCGACCCTGACTGAGCCCTGCCCCTGGTTGAGCCCCAATCCTGGACAGAGCCTGGATCCCTGGGTGAACCCCGACCCTGACTGAGCCCTGCCCCCGGTAGAGCCACAATCCTGGACAGAGCCTGGATCCCTGGCTGAACCCTGACCCTGACTGAGCCCTGCCCCTGGTTGAGCCCCAATCCTGGACAGAGCCTGGATCCCTGGCTGAACCCTGACCCTGACTGAGCCTATGAAGATGGACAAACCCAGTCCCTGAAACCAGATCCTGGTTAGAACTTGCTCCTGGCCTGGACCAGGCACAGTGGCTCCACGCCTGCAAATCCCAGCACTTTGGGAGGCCGACAATGGCAGATCACTTGAGGCCAGGAGTCGGAAACCAGCCTGGCCAATGTGGTGAAGCCCCATCTCTACCGAAAATACAAGAAAAGTAGCCAGATATGGCACAAGCCTATGATCCCAGCTACCCGGGAGGCTGAGGCAGGAGAATTGCCTGAACCCAGAGGCGGAGGTTGCGGTATACGAGATCGCACCATTGCACTCCAGCCTGGGCGAGAGAATCCATTTAAAAAAAAAAAAAAAGAGGGAGAGGGAGAGGGAGGGAGGGAGTGGGAGGAAGGAAGAGAGAGAGAGAGAGAGAGAGAGAAAGAGAAGAGAGAGAGAGAAAGAAAGAGAAGAGAGAGAGAGAAAGAGAGAGAGAGGGAAAGAGAGAGAGAGGAAAAGAGAGAGAGAGAAAGAGAGGGAAAGAGAGAGAGAAAGAGAGAGAGAGGGAAAGAGAGAGAGGGGGAAAGAGAGAAAGAGAGAGGAAAAGAGAGAGAGAAAGAGAGAGAGAGGGAAAGAGAGAGAGGGGGAAAGAGAGAAAGAGAGAGGAAAAGAGAGAGAGAAAGAGAGAGAGGAAAAGAGAGAGAGGGAAAGAGAGAGAGGGAAAAGAGAGAGAGAGAAAGAGAGGGAAAGAGAGAGAGAAAGAGAGAGAGAGGGAAAGAGAGAGAGGGAAAGAGAGAGAGGGAAAAGAGAGAGAGAAAGAGAGAGAGAGGGAAAGAGAGAGAGGGGGAAAGAGAGAAAGAGAGAGAGAAAGAGAGAGAGGAAAAGAGAGAGAGAAAGAGAGGGAAAGAGAGAGAGAAAGAGAGAGAGAGGGAAAGAGAGAGAGGGGGAAAGAGAGAAAGAGAGAGGAAAAGAGAGAGAGAGGGAAAGAGAGAGGGGGGGAAAGAGAGAAAGAGAGAGGAAGAGAGAGAGGAAAAGAGAGAGAGGGATAACAGAGTGTGAGAATGTGAGTCAAAGAGAGATAGAAAGAGAGAGAGAGGGAAAGAGAGAGAGGGGGAAAGAAGAGAAAAGAGAGAGAAAAGATAGAGAGAGAAATAGAGAGAAGGAAAGAGAGAGAGGGGGAAATAGAAAAGAGAGAAGAAGGAGAGAGAGAGAGAGGAAAAGAATGAGAGGGAAAGATCGGGAAAAGATAGAGAGAGAAAGAGAATAGAGAGGGAAAGAGAGAAGAGAAAGAGAGAGAGAGGGACATAGAGAGAGATAGATAAGGGGTCAAGAGAGAAGAGAAAGAGAAGAGAGGGAAAGATGAGAGAGGGGGAAAGAGAGAAAGAGAGAGGAAAGAGAGAGAGAAAAGAGAGAGAGAGGGAAAGAAGAGAGAAGGGAAGAGAGAGAATGGAAAAGAGAGAGAGAAAAGAGGGAAAGAGAGAGAGAAAGAGAGAGAGAGGGACAGATAGAGAGGGGGAAAGAGATAAAGAGAGGAAAAGGAGGAGAGACAGAGAGAGAGGAGGGAAAGAGAGAGAGGGGGAAAGAGAGAAAGAGAGAGGAAAAGGAGAGAGAGAAAGAGAGAGAGGAAAAGAGAGAGAGGGAAAAGAGAGAGAGGGAAAAGAGAGAGATAGAGAAAGAGAGGGGGGGGGAAAGAGAGAGAGAAGAGAGAGAGAGGTAGAAGAGAGAGAGGGGGAAGAGAGAAAGAGAGAGGAAAAGAGAGAGAGAGGGAAGAGAGAGAGGAGGGGGAAAGAGAGAAAGAGAGAGGAAAAGAGAGAGAGAAAGAGAGAGAGGAAAAGAGAGGAGAGGGAAAGAGAGAGAGGGAAAAGAAGAAGGAGAAAGAGAAGAGAGGGGAAAGAGAGAGAGAAAGAGAGAGGGAAGAGAGAGAGGGAAAAGGAGGAAGAGAGAGAGAAAGAAAAGAGAAAGAGAGAGGGGGAAAGAGAGAGAGAAAGAGAGAGAGAGGGAAAGAGAGAGAGAGGGAAAAGAGAGAGAAAGAGAGAGGGAAAGAGAGAGAGAGGGAGAAATAATTGCAAAAAAGCTTTGACCTTATCTTAGCGCCTTTGCCACTGGGGAACCTAAGGGTGTAGCAATTTTGAAACTACCATGTGTCTCACAGGACTAAGCAGAGTAGCAAATACAGAGATATTATTAGGAAGTAGCGTCTTTGCTGGGCGAGAAAGATGTAAATATGACCCGGGAGAATGCAACAAAGAACGCTGCAGGGGTGGGACAAGACTGCAAGTTTCCCAGGCTGGGCAACACAGCAAGACCCCATCTCTACCAAAACCCAAAATGAAATAACCCGGGTGTGGTGGCATGTGGCTGTGATCTTAGCTACCCAGGAGGCTGAGGCAGGAGGATCGCTTGAGGCTGCGAGGTGGAGGCTGTGCTGAGCCATCCACTACTGCACTGCAGCCTGGGTGACAGAGCCAGATCCCGTCTCTTAAAAAAAAAGGCTGAAGGCTGGCTGCGGTGGCTCAAGCCTGTAATCCCAGCACTTTGGGAAACTGAGGTGGGTGGATCACGAGGTCAGGAGCTCAAGACCAGCCTGGCCAAGATGGTGAAACCCTGTCTTTACTAAAAACACTAAAATTAGCCGGGCCTGCTGGCACAAGTCTGTAGTCTCAGCTACTCGGGAGGCTGCAGCAGGAGGCAGAGGTTGCAGTGAACTGAGATGGCACCACTGCACTCCAGCCTGGGCGACAGAGCAAGACTTCATCTCGGCCGGGCGCGGTGGCTCGAGCCTGTAATCCCAGGAGGCTGAGGCGGGTGGATCACGAGGTCGGCAGATCGAGACCATCCTGGTCAACATGGTGAAACCCCGTCTCTACTAAAAATACAAAAAATTAGCTGGGCATGGTGGCACGTGCCTGTAATCCCAGCTACTCACAGGACTAAGCAGAGTAGCAAATACAGAGATATTATCAGGAAGTAGCGTCTGCAGGAGGCTGAGGCAGGAGAATTGCCTGAACCCAGGGGGCGGAGGTTGCGGTGAGCCGAGATCGCGCCATTGCACTCCAGCCTGGGGAACAAGAGCGAAACTCCGTCTCAAAAAAAAAAAAAAAAAAAAAGACTTCATCTCAAAAAGAAAAGAAAAAATTAGCCAGGCATGGTGGCAGGCACCTGTAATCCCAGCTACTTGGGAGGCTGAGGCAGGAGGCTCACTTGATCCCAGGAAGTGGAGGTTGCAGTGACCTGAGATCACGCCACCGCACTCCAGCCTGGGTGACAGAGCGAGAGTCTGTCTCAAAAATATAACACAGAAGAATCCCGACACTTAAATCAGCTCCAGGGACACAAGCTGGCCTGATGGGGAAGCTGGAAAACTCTACACGACTGGCCTGGTTTCTTCAAAAAATAAACACAAGGCAAAGAAGAAAAGAGACACAGCACCCAGCCAGGTGCAGTGGGGCACGCCTGTAATCCCAGCACTTTGGGAGGCCGAGGCGGGTGGATCACGAGGTCAGGAGTTCAAGACCAGCCTGGCCAATATGTTGAAACCCCATCTCTACCAAAAAATTACAAAATCAGCCGGGTGTGGTGGCAGGCACCTGTAATCTCAGCTACTCGGATGACTGAGGCAGGAGAATCGCTTGAACCCGGGAGGCGGAGGTTGCGGTGAGCGGAGATCGCACCATTGCACTCCAGCCTGGGCGACAAGAGCAAAACTCTGTCTCAAAAATAAAAAAAAAAGCCGGGCGCGGTGGCTCCCGCCTGTAATCCCAGCACTTTGGGAGGCCGAGGTGGGTAGATCACCTGAGATCAGGAGTTCAGGATTGCTCTGGCCAGCATGGTGAAACCCCATCTTAAAAAAAAAAAAAAAAAAGGACTCGTCACCCAAGTGCCACCCATGGGCTTGGTCTGGGTCCTGACTCCAACCAGCGGTGAAAGGACATCCAAGATGTGTGACCACCAGGAATGAGACATTTTGTGATGAACCTGATCGGGTGACGCCCGAGATGTCTCCGTCATCCCTTTCTGTCACGAGCAAACCTCACACCAACCCAGTCTGAGGAACGGCTCAGAAATGACCAAGCAGAACTCCTCCAACGTGTCATGAAGGAAACTGAGGCACCGTCCCGGAGGAGAGGAAGGCCGCTCGAGGGGGTCCAGGGTCCGGGATTGGATCCTGGCCCGGAGAAGGAAGATGGGAGTGAGAACCCGCCACATTCTAATATAAGGTCGACACACAGGTTTGCTCATAGGATGCTGGCCCAGGTTCATTTCCTGGCCTGAACCCTAGGGTTACATAAGAGGGAAGAGGAAGCTGGGTGGAGGGGGTGTGGGAACTGTGTGGGACTTCCGCAACTCTCCTGAGTCTCAAATTATTACAAAACATCAAGAACACATTCTTACAAATTATCTTCTTAGTGTTTTTATTTTTTTGGAGACAGTCTCGCCGTGTCGCCAGGCCGGAGTGCAGTGGCGCGATCTCAGCTCACTGCAACCTCCACCTTCAGGGTTCAAGGGATTCTCCTGCCTCAGCCTCCCGAGTAGCTGGGATTACAGGTGCTCGCCACCACACCTGGCTAATTTTTGTATTTTTAGTAGAGATGGGGTTTCACTGTGTTGGCCAGAGCGGTCTCGATCACTTGACCTCGTGATCCACTCGCCTAGGCCTCCCAAAGTGCTGGGATGATAGGCAAGAAGTAAAACTTTTTTCCTTTCTACTCCACGTTGCTCCCCGGTCCCCCCCAACGGTAACCACTGCCCCCCTGGGACAGGTAACCCGAGAAGGGAATGCAGAGGGGAGAAACAGGACACTGGCGACACAGCCTCTTAGAAATGTTTAATGTCCTCCACGCCGCACGGGGCCTGCAGAGGGTGACGGAATAAATACAAAAGGTTAAGATGCGGCACGTCCAGCCCCGAGCCTGCGAACCATGGGGGGGGATGCTTGTGCGCCGCGATTTCCCTCGTCTGCAAACCGGGGCGGGACGCGCTGTGAGCCTCGAACCTCCGAAAGGAACAGCGTTTCCCAGCGGTCTGTTAACCCCTTGCAAAGGGGAGTCCCTGCACTCCCGCTGCGCTCCGGGAAGGCGTTCCTTCTCCTGTCCACCAGAGCGCGCCAGAGTCCACGCAAGAAGGCGCCAGAAGGACCCACTCGCCCCGTCCCAGGGTGTGCGTCACCCAACAGAGGGTCCCAGACCCCTGCCCAGGAAGTGACACGCCCGGAGATGGGGCTCCTGAGAGACGCCCACCCACCCAAGTCCTCAATCCCCCGGTGTCTTCACCTTTTCATCCACCCTGGCATCCCAAATGGCCGTTTTGCTCCTTCCCTTTCAAAGGAGGTAAACTGAGTCAAGCAAGGGAAGGCGCGCACCCTGGGCGGCGGGGTGGGTGGGGGGGTGGGGGGGGCTGTCCTGGTGAGAGGCCGAGAAGAGGGCGGCCGACAGCGGGCTTTCCATCCCCGGACTCACTCGCGTGTGGGCTGAGGCTGGAGAGAGAGAGACCAGGGACACTAGGGGTCCCCTGCAGCCACCCCGTCCTCCCACCCGCCCGCCGGTGCCGCCTGCCTCAGGTGGGGCCTGGGTCACAGCAAGTTGATCTCGTCCAGGTAGCGGGCGAGCACCGAGTCCCGCACATCCTTGAAGACCTTGCGGATGTTCTGTGTGTCCGTGGCGCATGTGTAGTGGCTGAAGAGGCGTCGGGAACGCGCGCCCGTCTTGCTGCCCCCGGGGCCGTCCACGCAGCCCGCGTACATCCTCGTGTACATGTCCAGGATGAACCTCTTGGCTGCCTCCGCGTCCTGCTTGGGGCCTGGGGAAACAGAGTGCGGGAAGGGGGTCAGGACCTTCCCTCTTTGGACCTAGGGGGCCAGAGCTGAAAGCTCCCCCAGGAATCGCGCCGGTCATTTCGTCCGCGGATTGGCGCCATCTTTTGTGGACCTCGCTGGTCACATGACTCAGGCCCTGCCAATGGGAACGCAGGAGAGAGGCTCGCAAGAGTCATGTGACCTGAAATGGACCAATGAGACCCAGCCCTGGGACTTGCGGCGGAACTGTTGAAGAGAGACAGTCTGCCAGGCGCCGTGGCTCACGCCTGTCATCTCGACACGGCGGAGGCAGGGGCGGAGGCGGGTGGATCACGAGGTCAGGAGTTTGAGACCAGCCTGGGCAACAGGGAGAAACCCCGGTCTCTACTAAAATACAAGAAATTAGTGGGGCGTGGTTGCGGGCGCCTGTAATCCTAGCTAGTCGGGAGGCTGAGTTGGGAGAATTGCTTGAACCCAGGAGGCAGAGGTTGCAGCCAGCCCAGATTGTGCCACTGCCCTCCAGCCTGGGCTACAGAGCAAGACTCCATCTCCAAAGGGAAAAAAAAAAAAAAAACCGAAGCTCGGTGGCTCACGCCTGTAATCCCAGCACTTTGGGAGGCCGAGGCGGGTGGATCACGAGGTCAACAGATCGAGACCATCTTGGTCAACATGGTGAAACCCCGTCTCTACTAAAATTACAAAAAATTAGCTGGGCACGGTGGTGCGTGCCTGTAATCCCAGCTGCTCGGGAGGCTGAGGCAGGAGAATTGCCTGAACCCAGGAGGCGGAGGTTGTGGTGAGCCGAGATCGCGCCATTGCACTCCAGCCTGGGTAGCAAGAGCGAAACTCCGTCTCAAAAAAAAAAAAAAAAAAAAAAAAAAAAAAAAAAAAACCGAAGCTGTCTTGCTTTGCAGCGGATGGAGTTGGAAGACTGCAGAGACAAATATCCCGGGAATGTGCAGCTGGGGGACCCAAGGCCAAAGAAGAGGAAGAGAGTCCCTGGAGTCAGCCTGGGTGGCTGCTCTGATACGTCGTGTCACAGTGCTCCACGCCTGTGTGCTCAGAGCACTGTGAATTATGAGTTTGGGAGCCCTAGACTTGGCTCTGCTACTCTCTCCCTGGTGGGTTATCTATAATAGTATTTTAATCCCTGCAACCTCTCTGAGCCTCAGTTTCCTCATTTGTAAGATGGGGATCAGAACAGTCTTGGGCCTCACAGAGCTGTCTCGACGTTGTAACATTATGTAGAAGGATCAGTGCTTAATGAACAGAAGACTTCACGATTTTCACCTATCAATGTATTTTCAGAAGGACCAGGTAGTAGCAGCATGGTTAAGTGCAGAGGTTCTGGCTCTGGGTCTGGACAGCCCGGACTCAAACCCTGCCTGTGCTGCTAACTGGTTGTGTGGCTGTTGGCAAGAGACCGCATCACTCTGTGCCTCAGTTTCCCCATCTCTATAACAGCTAGATGAATAGGTCTGCCACGTAGATGTTTGTTTTTGTTTGTTTGTTTTTGAGATGGAGACCTGCTCTGTCGCCCAGGCTGGAGTGCAATGGCGCGGTCTCGGCTCACGACATCCTCCACCTCCCAGGGTCAAGCGATTCTCCTGCCTCGAGTAACTGGGATCACAGGCCCCCATCACCAGGCCCAGCTAATTTTTGTATTTTTAGTAGAGATGGGGTTTTGCCATGTTGGCCAGGCTGGTCTCGAACTCCTGACCTCAGGTGATCTGCCCACCTCAGCCTCCCAAAGTGTGGTTTATTATTATTATTTTTTTTTAAGATGGGGTTTCATCATGATGGCCAGGCTGGTCTTGAACTCCCGACCTCAGGTGATCCGCCCACCTCGGCCTCCCAAAGTGCTGTGATTACAGGCGTGAGCCACCGCACCCAGCCTCGGTGTATTATTATTGTCCCATATATTATTTAGTACAGAGGAGGGAAGGGCAGAGTCTGCACAGGGTGCTCCAGCCACTTGAGCTGGGAGGCAAGGAGGAGTCATGGGAGGTTCCCCTTGACCTGAATGAAAAAATATCCACCTTATCCTGTTCCCAAATTCTCTAAGCTACAATCTGATTCCCAGGCCTGCTCGGCAGGGAAGAGGGGCTGTCCAGGCCACCATCCGGGAACAACTTGACCTCTATGTCCCAGACCCTGAGTCTTGTGGGCACGATTGGCCAAAATTGGCCTCATGAGCTCTGAGACATGACAAGGCCGGGGTCAAATCCCGGTGACTTCAGCAAAGCTTGTGTTTGCTGGCTGTGGACCTGGCGTTGAGCGTGTACCAAGGACTTCATCTTCTATGGCTGCTTGTATATTGAGGTGAACAGTGTTCCCCAAAATTCACGTCCACCCGAAACCTCTGAATATGGCTTTACTTAGAAATGAGATCTAGGGACCGGGTGCGGTGGCTCACGCCTGTAATCCCAGCACTTTGGGAGGCCGAGGTGGGCGGATCACAAAGTCAGGAGTTTGAGACTAGCCTGACCAACACAGTAAAACCCCCATCTCTGCTAAAAATACAAAAATTAGCCAGGTGTGGTGGCACACGCCTGTAATCCCAGCTATTGAGGAGGCTGAGGCAGGAGAATCACTTGAACCCAGGGGTGGAGGTTGCAGTGAGCCAAGATCACACCACTGCATTCCAACCTGGATGACAAACTGAGACTCTGTCTCAAAAGAAAAGAAAAGAAAAGAAATCAGATCTTTGGCCAGGTGTGGTTGGCTCACGCCTGTGATCCCAGCACTTTGGGAGTCTGAGGCAGGCGATCACAGGGTCAGGAGATAGAGACCATCCTGGCCTTGGTGAAACCCCGTCTCTACTAAAATACAAAAAATTAGCCGGGTGTGGTGGCATGTGCCTGTAGTCCCAGCTACTCAGGAGGCTGAGGCGGGGGAATCACTTGAACCCAGGAGGCGGAGGTTGCAGTGAGCCAAGATCATGCCGCCACACTCCAGCCTGGTGACAGAGCAAGACTGCGCCTCAAAAAATAAATAAATAAATAAAAAATAAATCTGATCTTTGCAGATGTAATTAGGTAAGCTAAATTAGGTCATGGCCAGGCACGATGGCTCACGCCTGTAATCCTAACACTCTGGGAGGCCAGGGCAGGTGGATGACAGATGTGTGCTTGGGCCCAGGAGTTCCAGATCAGCCTGGGCAACATGGAGAAACCACAGCTCTACAGAAATATACAAAAATTAGCCAGCTGTGGTGGTGCGTGCCTGTAGTCCCGGCAACGCAGGAGGCTGAAGTGGGAGGATCACCTGAGCCCGGGAGGGTCACCTGTGCCCGGGAGGATCACCTGAGCCCAGAAAGATCACCGGAGCCCGGAAGGATCACCTGTGCCCGGGAGGATCACCTGTGCCCGGAAGGATCACGTGTGCCCGGGAGGATCACCTGAGCCCGGAAGGATCACCTGTGCCCGGGAGGATCACCTGAGCCCGGAAGGATCACCTGTGCCCAGGAGGATCACCTGAGTCCGGGAGGATCACCTGAGCCCGGGAGGGTCACCTGTGCCCGGGAGGATCACCTGAGCCTGGGAGGATCACCTGTGCCCGGGAGGATCACCTGAGCCCGGGAGGATCACCAAAGGCTGCAGTGAACTGTGGTCACGTCACTGCACTCCAGCCTGGGCAACAGAGCAAGACCTTGTCTCAAAAATAAATAAATTAATTGATTAAGGTCATACAAAGTATGGGCTGTAAACAATGATTGGTGGCCTTCTAAGAACAGGAGGGGATACATAAAGACATTGTGAGAAGCCACCCATGTGAACATGGAGGCAGAGATGGGAGTGATACGTCCACGAGCCAAGGGCTGCTGGCCACCGTCACAAGCTGAGAGAGAAGCATTGAATAGATTTTCCCTCAGAGCCTCCAGAAGGTACCACCCTGCCAGTACCTTATCTGTGGACTTCTGGCCTCCTGAACCATTGTTTTCCGTGGTTTTAAGCAGCTCTGTTTGTGGCACTTTGTTAGGGCATCCCCAGTTAATGAAGGCAGCTATCTCCAAGATGGCTGCTGTCACTTCCTTCCCTCCCTGTATACACGTGTCATTCCTCCATCAACAGGTGGAGCCTCTTTCTTTTGAATTCAGGCTGATATGAACGGTGTGCTTGGTAAACAGAATGTGGCAGACGTACCATCTGACACTTCTGAGGCTATCGTGAGAAGTAGCTTCCACCTGGGCTGAGGTCAGTCTACCCTGAGGCAGCCATATTGTGAGTAAGCTCAAACCATGTAAGGAGGCTATGGATTATGAGGCACCAGATGAACAGAGAGAGAACAGAGGAGGTGGAAAAGGGAGAGAGAGAGACAGAGAGACTGGAAGAAAGGGGAGGAGAGAGACATGAGATGGGAGAGGGAGTCAGGGAGAGACAGAAAGAGAGGCCAAGAGCACCAAGGCACCAGACATGTGGGGGAAGAAGCCATCTTGGAAGTGTATCTCCAATCCCAGGCAGCCCAGCTGATGCCACATGGATCAGAGATGAGCTTACCCAGCTCAACCCTTTTTGAATTCCTGACCCACAAAGTCATATGCAAAGGAAAACGGCCGGTTTAAGTCACTACGTTTTGGGGTGGTTTTTTTCTCAGCAGTATCTGTGGGAAGTAGAAAAGTTCCTCTTCAAAGTTTCCTTTCTTGTTAAAGGATAGTAACAATAATGATAATAATAATAAATGTTAGAAATAATAGTCTCTTTGAAGGACTTTCTGCAAAGCCTTCTTGCTTTTTCCTCGTGACTCTGTTAAGCCCTATGCTACGTAGCTGTTAAACGTGCTCACGGGCACGTAGTACATTCTGTGTCCTCGTACTTTAACTGAGATATCCGTGCTGGACATGCTCACAGGCATGTCCGTGCTCACAGCCTATGCCCGTTCCTTATTTGGATTTCCTTTTTTGTTCTCCACTGCTTTTTACCTGTTTAGGAAAGTTGTAAGTGGTCAGCCAATCAGGTTTTAGTTTAGATTGTGAGGTCTGGCTCCAGCCAATGGAGATCAGACAGGGCAGGAAGGACCACCCCAAATGTGTAAGGGATAAATCTGTCTGCTTTTCCTTTGTGTGTTGTACTCTCATGTCAAGATGGCTAACGAGGGGCACCCTTTCTGCAGAAAGTAGAGATTGCCTTGCTGAGAGATCCTCTGTCTCGGTGCTGATTTTTCTTTGTGGCACGAAGCCCGTTTCCAACAGTAGCTAAGCAGGACACTTCTCCCACCACGCTCTAGCCTCACAGTGGTGTTCGGGGAAAATGCTGGTAAACACACACCTTCCCCACATCGGCCCCTGGATTAACCCCACAGCTTTGCCTCCCCTTTGTAAAACCGACTAAGACGTGCCCAACACTTGATGGTGTTTCTCTGCAGTTGCCCTGGCCTTTTGACTCTCTGGATGTGCTCACAGTTTGTTCCCAAACCTGTCTGTCCCACTTGTACATGTCTTGATTAATATACCGTTAAAATAAGGATTATGCAAACCTAGAGCTGTAAGTGCCACACGAAAGGAGGTCGTTATATTTATAAGAACTAGGCTGTGTGCTTCGGAAAGATTGTTCAAGCCTCTGCTTTTAAAAATAGAAGAAAAAGCCGGGAGTGGTGGCTCGAGCCTGTAATCCCAGCACTTTGGAAGGGCGAGGCGGGTGGATCACGAGGTCAAGAGATCGAGACCATCCTCGTCAACATGGTGAAACCCCGTCTCTACTAAAAATACAAAAAATTAGCTGGGCATGGTGGCACGTGCCTGTAATCCCAGCTCCTCGGGAGGCTGAGGCAGGGGAATTGCCTGAACCCAGGAGGCGGAGGTTGCCGTGAGCCGAGATCGCGCCATTGCACTCCAGCCTGGGTAACAAGAGCGAAACTCCGTCTCAAAAAAAAATAATAATAATAATGGATTTAAAAAAATAGAAATTTCTATCCAATTAGGTATAGATGAGATGAGTATGAAAGATTTAAAAAAAATTCAGGCCAGGCACGGTGGCTCACGCCTGTAATCCCAACACTTTGGGAGGCTGAGGTGGGCGGATCACCTGAGGTCAGGAGTTTGAGACCAGCCTGGCCAACATGGTGAAACCCGGTCTCTACTAAAAATACAAAAATTTAGCTGGGCGTGGTGGTGCGCGCCTGTAATCCCAGCTACTCAGGAGTCTGAGGCAGGAAAATCCCTTGAACCCGGGAGGCGGAGGTTGTAGTGAGCCAAGATCGCACCACTGCACTCCAGCCTGGGTGACAGCGTGGGACCCTGTCTCAAAAAGAAAAAGAAACATTCTTGCTGGGCGTGGTGGCTCACGCCTGTAATCCCAGCACTTTGGGAGGCCAAGGCGGGCGGATCACGAGGTCAGAAAATCGAGACCATCCTGGATAACACGATGAAACCCTGTCTCTTTAAAATTAAAAATTAAAAATAAATAAATAAAAATTAGAAAAAAGAAACATTCTTCAAACCTGAAGTCTCACTTTGTCACCCAGGCTGGAGTGCAGTGGTGCGATCTCGGCTCACTGCAACCTCTGCCTCCCAGGTTGAAGTGATTCCCCTGTCTCAGCCTCCCGAATAGCTGGGATTACAGGCACCCACCACCACGCCCAGCTAAATTTTTGTATTTTTAGTAGAGACCGGGTTTCACCATGTTGGCCAGGCTGGTCTCGAACTCCTGGCCTCAGGTGATTCACCCGCCTCAGTCTCCCAAAGCGCTTGGATTACAGGCGTGAGCCGCTGCACCCGGCAAAATAAATTTTAAGGTACACATGATGTGCTGGTCTTTTTAGAATTCCTCAGTTTACTCAGTTGCGAGGGCCTCTGCCCTTTCATTCCATTCCACAGAGCGGGAAACGGATTCGGAGAGGTTTGCGGTGCGTGGAGCAGAGTCTAGAAATCGGGTCTGATTCTGTGGAACTTTCCAGTGACTGCAGGAGAGCCTAGATCAGCAGCTCCGAAGAGAGGGGAAGGGTATAGAAGGTTCTAGAACTACTTACCCTGGAAGCTGGGGAAGTAGGTAGCCAGGTGGGAGGTGGGGATTTTCTCCTCCAGGATGTCCGTTTTGTTGAGGAAGAGGATGACGGACGTGTTCTTGAACCAAGGCAGTTCCAGGATGGTACCAAACAGGGCGAGGCTCTCCTTCATGCGGTTCTGTGTTGGGGGCAGAAGCGGTCGGTTGCTTCGGCCAGCAGCTCCGAAGGGGTGCTGGGGTGCTGTTGGCTACCGTCCAGGGGCGTGGCTCACCCCTACCTGCCTGGCTGGGGCTGAGCGGGCTGTGCCCATGTGTCTTCGTGGACATGGTTTTGTGCCTGTGCTGGTTTAAAGGGTGTCCTCCCAAAACTCATGTCCACCCACAACTTCAGAGCGTGACGTTATCTGAAGAGAGGGTCTTGAACTCCTGGCCTCCCAGTGTCCTGGGATTGCAGGCATGAACTACTGCACCTGGCCTGGAGGTAGGGTCTTTGAAGGGGTCGTTCCGGTGAGAATAAGGTGGGCATCCAAGTCTGTGACTGGCGTTTTTATAAGAAGAAAGACCTGGCCGGGCGCGGTGGCTCACGCCTGTAATCCCAGCACTTTAGGAGGCTGAGGCAGGTGGATCACCTGAGGTCAGGAGTTCGAAACCAGCCTTGCCAAAATTGTGAAACCCCCCACTCTACTAAAAATACAAAAATTAGCCGGGCATGGTGGCTCATGCCTATAATCCCAGCTACTTGGGAGGCTGAGGCAGGAGAATGGCTTGAATCCAGGAGGCGGAGGTTGCGGTGAGTTGAGATCGCACCATTGCCCTCCAGCCTGGGCAACAAAAGTGAAACTCTGTCTCAAAAAAAAAAAAAAAAGAAAAAGAAGAGGGAGTGTAGGTGTGGTGGCTCACGCCTGTAATCCCAGCGTTTTCGGAGGCCGAGACAGGCGGATCACTTGAGGTCAGGAGTTGGAGACCAGCCTGGCCAACATGGTAAAACCTCTTCTAAAAATACAAAAATTAGCTGGGCATGGTGGCTCATGCCTACGGTCCCAGCTACTTGGGAAGCTGAGGCAGGAGAATCGCTGGAACCCAGGGGGCTGAGGTTGCAGTGAGCTGAGGTGGCACCACTGCACTCCAGCCTGGGCAACAGACTGAGACTCCATCTCAAAAAATCAAAAAGGCGCAGGGGCTCGTACCTGTTGTCCCAACACTTTGGGAGTCCGAGGCAGGAGGATCACTTGAGCCCAGGAGTTCGAGACCAGCCTGAGCAACATAGTGAGACCCCATCTCTACAAGAAGTTTTTTTAAATTATTCGGGCATGGTGGCACACACCTGTAGTCTCAGCTACTCAGGAGGCTGAGGTGAGAGGATTGCTTGAGTCCAGGAGTTCGAGGCTGCAGTGAGCTATAATCACACCACTGAACTCCAGCCTGGGCAAGACTCTGTCTCCAAATAAAAACGAGGAAATTTACACACAGACGTGCACACAGACAGGATGGTGTGTGTGAGGTGGAGGCAGAGATCAGGGTGAGCCACTACAAGCAAGGATCACCAGCCACCACTAGGACCCAGGAGAGGCCTGGGACAGATTCTGAGGTGGACCCAGCCCTGCCTCCACGTCCCTGTGTGACTCCTGGCCTCTGGAACTATGGAGAAGAAATATCTGTTGTTGAAGCTGTCTGGTCTGCGCAGCTTTCTTACCAAAGCCCTGGGAAACAAGTCAGTTTCGTGTGGCTGGACAAGCAGTATCAGGGTGACCTAAAATGCATTCCGTCTAATTCAGTCTGAAAGTCAAAATTATATCGTCTGACCCTCAGGTCCCCAGACTGTGTGGGTGAAACCTCAACCCCTACAGTCACGCCTTGCGGGTAATAACGCCCCCGACCCTTGGGCTCAGGGATTAAGTGGGAAGAAAGTTCACATTCCCAAAAGCAGGAGCGGCCTCGGGCCTTCCTGAACCAAAGCAGAACGGCGCGCCTGCGGGGAGACCTGCTCTCCTGCGCCTGCATGTGTGCAGGCGGCCATGTCTGTCTCGGGCTCGAGTGTTCCTCGGGGGCGGGCTGTGCATCCATGTGTGACTGACTCAAGGATGTGTCTGTGAAGTGTGTGACAGAAGCCCTGGGGTTCCGTGGTGTGGCCAGAGCATGGACAGGAATTTCCATGTGTGTATGTGCACGTGTGTGAGCAGGCGTGTGCATGTGCATGTGTGCACGTGTGTGAGCAGGCGTGTGCACGTGCATGTGTTGTGTGCATAGGTGCATGTTTATGTGTATGTACGGTGCATGCATGTGTATGTGCACGGTGTGAGCAGGTGTGTGCACGTGCATGTGTTGTGTGCATAGGTGCATGTTTATGTGTATGTACAGTGCATGCATGTGTATGTGCACGTGTGTGAGCAGGCGTGTGCATGTGTATGTGTGCACGTGTGGGCAGGCATGTGTACGTGCATGTGTGTGCACGTGTGTGAGCAGGTGTGTGCATGTGTGTACACGTGTGTAAGCAGGTGTGTGCATGTGTGTGCACATGTGAGCAGTCGTGTGTGTGCATGTGTGAGCAGGCGTGTGTATGTGCATGTATGTATGCACGTGTGTGAGCAGGCGTGTGCATGTGCATGTGTGTGCACGTGTGTGAGCAGGCGTGTGTATGTGCATGTGTGCACGTGTGTGCATGTGCATGTATTGTGTGCATAGGTGCATGTTTATGTATATGTACGGTGCATGCATGTGCGTTTGTGTGCGTGTGCGTGTGTGTAGTGCCTGTGTTCCTGTGCACGTGTGTGTGTCGGCACATATTGTGCGTGCCTGTGAACGTATGTGCATGTGTGTGCACATGTGTGCATGTATTGTGTGCGTGTGTGCATGTGTGGTGCATGTGTTCACATGCCATATATTGTGCAGTGCTCGTGTACATGTGCACATGCGTGTGTGTGCATGTGCATGTATCATGCCCATGAGTGTGTGCGTGTGCATGTAGGGTGCATGTGCTTGTGCGTATGTGTGTGCATTGAGTGTGTGCATGTGTGTGTGTGTCTGGGGTCCTGGCCAGACAAATGCTGTGGGTCTGTGTCTTGCCGCGATCTGACCACAAAAGAATGAAAGGTCAAGTTTAAAGCCGTGCTGGGCACACACAGGCCCATTCAAAAGCAGGGACGCTTCGCTTTCTGCACCAGAGCTTCCTGCCCGGATGCGGGTCCCGGGTCAACACGTGGGAAGGTGAAGGAGGCGGGGGCCACGCACCTCCTGGTTGTTCTCCTCCAGGCACTGGTCGTATTCACTCAGTGAGGCCAGGTAGATGAGGGCAATCACGTTCTCGAAACAATGGATCCATTTCTTACGCTCTGACTTCTGGCCTCCGACGTCCACGATCCTACAGGGAACCGGGGCACCCCCTTTCAGAGCTCAGGACCCTGCTCCGTGACACCCCTGACCCCCGTCATGTCTGGGATATGCCAAGATCAATAATGGCAGTAGCAAGAACAGATGCCAGCCTCTGGTGGATTTGCCATGTCATTCACGCGAGGCAGGGATGACTCTTCACGCCCATTTTACAGATGAGGAGACTGAGATGCAGGGAGAAGAGGGGACTTTCCCAGGCTTCTGCTGTGCTGGGCTGCCTGCCCTCTACCCCCACATTAGAGGGCAGCAGGTCGAACAGATCTAGGATGTGCCCTGGTGCTGGCTGGGTGACCCAGCAAGGGAAATTGCCAAACATCTCCAACACTCAGTTTTCCCATCTGTGCCATGGGGGCTCCTGTGCTCAGGCTGGCCATGGGAGTGTCCAGTGGCCACACAGTTGGGAATGAGGTCGGTTCCCAGAGCACATGTCCTCCCCTCCATCTGTGGCTCAGCCCCACATGCCGCAACAAAAGCCTGAGCCCTGCCCCCGCCTTCCTGTTGCCTCTCTTCTGAGAAATGTGGGTCACTGATAATCATCGGTGCGTCATTTCCCTGGGGATGCGACCGTTACTCAGGAAGTGCCAGAGCGGAGGCTTTGGACGAGCCCGGGCCTGAAGCAAGAGGGGACTTGCCCCATTGCACAGGAGGGGAAACCGAGACCGGTGATTAAGCTGTTAGGCTGCCGCTGGCATATGTGTCTCCTGATCCCTGAGACCTGCGCCCCCCCATGTGTTCTCAGAGTCCCTCAAAGCCCACATCCAGAACCAGAAAGGGGCGAGCGGCTGTCGAGAGGGGGCTCTGAGACAGGAGTGGGTCAGCAACTGGCCAGTTGGGTACCGTGGGCATCACCTCCCATCTCGGGACTGTGTCCTCCGAGCCCTCACTCCATTCATCCGCCTCACTCCTGGGCCATACCCGAAAATCACCTCCTTGGCCCAGAATTCCCTGTGATTCCCCAGCCTCTACCTTCACTCCTGAACTTTTACCCATCCACCCACCCATTCATCCATTCATTCACTCATCCCTTCACTCATCCACCCATCCACCCACCCATCTATCCATTCACTCATCCATCCATCCATCATCCACCCACATCTCCACCCATTTACTCAATCCACCCATCCACCCACCCATCTCTCTCTTATCTACTCATCCATCCATCTATGCACCCATCTATCCACTCACTTGTCCTCCCATCTACCCATCCATCCACCCACCAATCCACCCACCCATCCACTCATCCATCTATCCATCACCCACCTGTTCACTCATTTACTCAATTCACCCACCTACCCACCCATCCATCCATCCATCCATTTACTCATCCATCCATCTACCCATCTACCCATCTATCCATCCATCCATCATCCACCCACCTGTCCACCCATTTACTCAATCCACCTACTCACCCACCCACCCGTCTCTCCACGTACTCAGCCACCCATTCATCTACCCACCCATCTATCCACCCATTATCCATCCACCCATCTATCCACTCACTCATCCACCCATCTACCCACACCCCCCCACCCATCCACTTATCCATTCATTCATCCATCCATTCCTCCACTCATCTGTCCATGCTTCACTCACCCACCCACCACCCATCTGCCCATTCATGCATCATTCCTCTACCCATCTACCCATCCATCCACTCATCCATCTTTGCATCCATCCATCCATCCATCCACTCATCCATCTTTGCATCCATCCATCCATCCACTCATCCATCTTTGCATCCATCCATCCATCCACTCATCCATCTTTGCATCCATCCATCCATCCATCCACTCATCCATCTACCCATCCATCCATCCACTCATCCATCTTTGCATCCATCCATCCACTCATCCATCTACCCATCCATCCATCCACTCATCCATCTTTGCATCCATCCATCCATCCATCCACTCATCCATCTTTGCATCCATCCATCCATCCATCCATCCATCCATCCATCCATCCACTCATCCATCTTTCCATCCATCTGTCCACTCATCCATCTTTGCATCCATCCATCCATCCATCCACTCATCCATCTACCCATTCATTCATCTACTCATCCATCTTTGCATCCATCCATCCATCCATCCGTCCATCCATCCACTCATCCATCCATCCATCCACTCATCCATCTTTGCATCCATCCATCCACTCATCCATCTACCCATCCATCCATCCACTCATCCATCTTTGCATCCATCCATCCATCCATCCATCCACTCATCCATCTTTGCATCCATCCATCCATCCATCCACTCATCCATCTTTGCATCCATCCCATCCATCCACTCATCCATCTTTCCATCCATCCGTCCACTCATCCATCTTTGCCTCCATCCATCCATCCATCCACTCATCCATCTACCCATTCATTCATCTACTCATCCATCTTTGCATCCATCCATCCATCCGTCCATCCATCCACTCATCCATCCATCCATCCATCCACTCATCCATCTTTGCATCCATCCATCCATCCGTCCATCCATCCACTCATCCATCCATCCACTCATCCATCTTTGCATCCATCCATCCATCCGTCCATCCATCCACTCATCCATCTACCCCTTCATTCATCCACTCATCCAGCTCCTTTACCCCTCCTACAGGAAGCCTTCCCTGCACTCCCAGGCTGGGCCCAGGTGGAACGCTCACCGCAGGTTGGTTTTCTGCACGGAGAAGCAGTATTCGTTGATGCCAGTGGTGGGCATGCGGCTGCGGAGTACGTCCTGCGCCGTGGGGACATAGCCCTCCTCCGTGATGCGCTCCAGGTGGGACAGGTAGCTGCAGAGCAAGGAGTCCTGAGGCCCAGCCTTGCAGCCAGCCTCCCTTTGCTTCCCAGGGCCCTAGAGAAGGCCCAGCGAGAACCCTGCTGGGGCTGCTGGGGGAGGAGAGCTCCCTTGTCGGGGGCCAGGATCCCTGGGGTTGGCAGATGGCCCAGGAATGTCCCCCACCCCAAGGCAATGGAACCTCAAGGAAAGTAGCTTCACACTCAGAGCAGGGCGACCCCACGGATGGCGTGACATGAGGAACGGCCTCACTGGGGAGTGGTGTCCCCCCGGAGAGCTGCTATGCCAGGAGTGGCACTGCCCCAAGAATGCTGGTAGCCTGAGAACAGCCTTCCCAGATGCCAAGTCACCGTGGACATCCATCACGCCTAGAACAGGCTCCCCCCAGGAATAGGGTCACCCTCAGAACAGGGTCTCCCATGGAACAGGGTCCCCCCAGAAGAGGGTCCTCTCAAGAACAGGGTCACCCCCAGAGGAGGATCACCCCCAGAACAGGGTCACTCTGGGAACAGGCTCCCCCCAGGAATAGGGTCACTCCAGGAACATGGTTTTCCAGTAATAGTGTCCCCCAGGAACAAGGTCCCCCCAGGAACAGGGTCACCCCCAGAACAGGGTGGGTCCCCCAGACCAGGGTCTCTCTAGGAACAGCCAGGAATAGGGTCACTCCAGGAATGAGGTCCTCCAGGAATAGGGTCCCTCTAAGAACAAGGTCCTCTCAGGAACAGGGTTCCCCCAAGAATAGTGGCATTCTAGGAATACAGTCCCCCCAAGAATAGGGTCACTCCAGGAAAGGGTCACCCCCAGAACAGGATCCCCCAGGGAACAGGGTCTCCCTGGAAACAGAGTCACTCCCAAGAACAGGGTCCTCCCAGGAACAGGGTCACCTCTGAAACAGGGTCCTGGCAGGAACAGGTTCTTCAGGAATAGGGTTCAGCCAGGAGCAGGGTCTCCCCAAGAACATTACTCTAAAAATACAGTCCCTCCAGCAACAGGGTCACCCCTGAAACAGAGTTCCTGCAGGAACAGGGACCCCCAAGCACAGGGTCACTCTAGGAATGCAGTCCCCCCAGAACAGGGTCTCCCCTAGGAGCTGGATTCCCTCAGAAACAGGGTCACCCCTAGGACAGAGTCCCTATATGAACAGAGTCACTCCAAGAACAAGATCACCCCTGGAACAGAGTCGCCCCCAAGGAACAGGGTCTGCCCAGGAACAAGGTCCCCCCCAGAAAACAGTTACCCCCAGAACAGGGTCCCCCCAGGAATTAGGGATCCCCCCCCGGAAGGACTTCATCCTGGAGCTGGACCATAGCCATCTGTGCCCACAGTATCTCCGGTTGCAGGGAGCCGGCCAGCCTGGCCCCTGCCCTCGACCCCTCCCCACGCACCCATCCCTGCAGACCCCAGACTCACTACACAGCTGAGTCGAGCAGGTGGAATTCCCGCCGCCGCTCATAGCAGGCCCGGATGCCGGCGTCCCTCCACAGCCACTGCATGGCCACAGCGTAGCGCTTCTCAAAGGTGGTCACTTTGTAGGGGTCCTGGCTCATGACCAGGCTGGCGTGGTGCTGGGGAGGGAGGATGGGGGCGGTTAGGGCAGCGTGTCCAAGCGGGGCCTCCCCGGGCATCTCTGCAAGCCCCCCCTCCACCCGCCACGTCCCTCCCTGAAGCACATTCTCTCACACTCCCTTTCTTCTTCCCCGGAGCGCCCTGTGCCTCGGGGTGCTGTCCCGGTTCCTGGGAGAAGAGACCCTGCTCTGGCGGGGATCCAATTCCTAGAGTGACCCTGTTCCTGGAGGGACTGTATTCCTAAAGTGACTGTTCTTGTGGGGACCCTGTTCCTGGGGGACCCTATTCCTGGAGAGCCCTGTTCCTGGGGTGGCCCTGTGCCTTGGGGTCCCTGTTCCTGGGGGATCCTGCTTCAGGGGTGACCCTATTCCAGGGGGACCATATTCCTAGAGTGACCCTGTTCCTGGGGGGACCCTATTCCTGGAGAACCCTGTTCCTGGGGTGGCCCTGTGCCTTGGGTCCCTGTTCCTGGGGGATCCTGCTTCAGGGGTGACCCTATTCCAGGGGGACCATATTCCTAGAGTGACCCTGTTCCTGGGGGGACCCTATTCCTGGAGAACCCTGTTCCTGGGGTGGCCCTGTGCCTTGGGGTCCCTGTTCCTGGGGGATCCTGCTTCAGGGGTGACCCTATTCCAGGGGGACCATATTCCTAGAGTGACCCTGTTCCTGGGGGGACCCTATTCCTGGAGAACCCTGTTCCTGGGGTGGCCCTGTGCCTTGGGGTCCCTGTTCCTGGGGGATCCTGCTTCAGGGGTGACCCTATTCCAGGGGGACCATATTCCTGGAGTGACCCTGTGCCTCGGGGTCCCTGTTCCTGTGAGGACCCTGATTCCGGAGTGACCCTGTTCCTGGGAGCACCCCACACAGCTCTACTTTGTCCTCCGTCTGTTCCCGGAGGGAAAAGCCCAGGCCGGCACATGAGAGGCTGCAGAGGGCACATGTGCTCGGGCGAGCCCAGGCTCAGGGGGAACAGGGTGCCCAGTCCTGCTCTTTCCACTTGCTGGCTCCCAGGAGGCAAGGCACCAAAGTCCCCCCATTCTACAGATGAGGCGACTGAGGCACAGAGTGCCGAAGCAACCTGCCCCACACAGGCCCCCCGGAGGCGCACGGTCCCCGAGCTGGCCGCCGGGCCCTGGGCTTCCCCGTCTTTTCCCAAACAGCCCTGGCTCCGTCCAGCCACTAGGGCAGTTCAGACCTTTGTGATGGACCCTGTGTTGTGTGTGCATCTCTGTGCACGTGCAAATGTGCTGTGTGTGTACAGATGTACCCATGTGCATGGGTGTGTGGTGTGTGATGTGTGTGGGGCACGCGCATGTATCCTTGGGTGATTTGTGTGTGCATGCAGAGGTGTGCATGTGCTTGTGCGTGCGTGTGCATGAGGGACTATATGGGGGCATGTGTGTATCCTTGTGTGTTTGTGCGTGCATGTGTGTATGTGTGTGCATGTGGGAATTTGCATGCATGCTTCTGTGTGTGTGTATGTCTGTACACGTGCACGGGTGTGTGCATCTGTGTGGTGGCATGTGCAGGTATCCTTGTGTGCATTTGTGTGTGCACATGTGTTCATGTGTGTGCATTTTTGTGTGTATACTTGTATGTGCGTGTGTAAGTATGCACACGTCTGGAGGACATGGCCCTGCCCTGCCCTGGGGTCTAGGGGACCCTGCTCTGCTCCAGGATCTGAGGGACACGACCCTGCCCTGGGGAGTGGGGAACATGGTCCTGCCCCAGGGTCTAGGGAACCCTACCTGGGCCCCTGCCTGCCCCGGGGGCTCACCTTGCTCTCGGGCCTGCTGAAGGGGATCTGCAGCCGCTCCATGGCCTCAATCATGGTCCGCATGGACACGAAGATGTTCTGGTAAACCAGGGCCCGGAAGCCCTTTCGCTCCTCCTCCGAGTAGCCAGTGCCATGGATGATCCGCATCTGCTTAATGAAGGTGCTCTTCCCACTCTCGCCGGGGCCTGGAGACAGAGCAGGGGACTGCTCAGCCTCCACGGGGCTCCCATCCCCGACACCCCCAACCCACACCAGATGCCCCTACCCCATGCCAGGCACCCCCACCCAACCCTATGCCAGGCACCCACAACACCATGCCAGGCACCCCCAATCCCACACCAGGCACCCCCAACCAAACTTCCACCAGGCACCCCCAACTCCATGCCAGACACCCCCAACCCCAGGCCAGGCACCCCTAACCCCATGCCAGGCACCCCACTCAACCCTATGCCAGGTACCCCCAACCCCAGGCCAGGCACCCCCAACCCTATGTCAGGCACCCCCAACCCCAGGCCAGGCACCCCCAACCCAAACCTCCGCCAGGCACCCCCAACCCCACGCCAGGCACCCCACCCAACCCTACACCAGGCACCCCCAATCCCACACCAGGCACCCCCAACCAACCCTACACCAGGCACCCCCAACCCCAGGCCAGGCATCCCCAACCCTATGCCAGGCACCCCCAACCTCAGGCCAGGCACCCCTAACCCAAACCTCTGCCAGGCACCCCCAACCCGCCAGGCACCCCCAATCCCACACCAGGCACCCCAACCAAACCTCCACTAGGTACCCCCAACTCCATGCCAAACACCCCCAACCCCAGGCCAGGCACCCCCAACCCTAAGCCAGGCATCCGCAATCCCACACCAGGCACCCCCAACCCCAGATGTCACTTCCACTGAGAGGCCTTCCCTGCCTGCGTGGCTCTCGTAGTCACGTAATTACTCCTTGCCCTATTTATCCTGTGTTACTTCTTTTGTAAAAGAAATGCTTTTTATAGTTATGGTTCTTATGGGATGTTTTCTGTTTTTTTTTTTTTTTTTGAGACAGAGTCTCACTCCATTGCCCAGGCTGGAGTGCAGTGGTGCGATCTCAGCTCACTGCAACCTTCATCTCTGAAGGTTGGAAAGTCGCTCTCAGAAACTTAGCGGGCACACCCGGCGAAGGGAACAGCCCCTACAAAGGCCCTGGAGCAGGGCCACACCTGGAGTGTTGGAGGAACAGCAAGGAGGCCGGTGTGGCTGGAGCAGAGTGAGTGAGTGGGGGAGAGGGAGGAGGGGAGGGGGGAGGGGGGAGGGGGGAGGGGGAGGGGGGAGGGCAGGCTGTGCAGGGCCTGGTGGGCTGCAGGGAGGTCTTGGGAGCCATGGAGGGCTGCAGGCAGAGGAGGGACGGGCCCTGACTCAGGTGCTCACAGGCGCCCTCTGGTGGTTGCTGCAGGGAGGACAGACTGTGGGGGGCGAGGGTGGGAGCCGGGGACCAGGGTGGAGGGGTCTGTGGTGGTTCAAAGGAGGTTGGGGCGGGAGGGCTGGACCCAGGTGGCTGTCATGGAGCTGGAGAGAAAGGAAGAGAGATTCCGCAGACAGAATCTGACAGATGGTGCAAAATCGGGCAGGGTCCTTGCAGGGCCAGCTGCAGAATTTCTGGGGCTTGGTGCAAGCTGAAACTTCAGGCTCTTTGGAGCCTGGGACCCTGTGGGAGAGTTCAAGCACCTGTCAAGCCGGCCCTGAGTCCGGGATGCGGATGCTGGAATCTTCCAGAGCCTGGGACTAGAGGTCCAAAGAGCCCAGCTCTGCTGCCTGCTGCCTAAGCTCTGACATTCCAAGGCTGTCCTTCCCCTCTCTGCCTCAATGTTCTCTTCAGTAAAATGGGTGTGATCCAGCGGGTGGGAGGTGGGGGGCTGGAGGCTTGCCCAGCATCTCATCTGGCTCCCGGGGGCACCAGCATGGGCCCCTCCCAGCGACGGGTGGGGGATGGGACAGCTTCTTTCTCTCCGGGATGCAGGGTCCAGGCGCAGGTGGCACAGGGTCGGGGGTGGGGGCGCGCAGTGCCAGAAGAACTCGATCAAGCGGGCGGCAGTGGCAGCAAAAGAGGAAGGGGTGGCCTGGCTGGGACTCAGAAAGAGGAAACAGGAGCAGAGGAGCAGGCGGGAGCAGGGAGAAGGGGGGGTTCGACCTCCCATCTCCCCAAGGGGCCATCTGTCTGCATCTCCCACCCTTCAGCTCCACCCTTCACCTGCTCCTCCCGCCTCTCCGATCCTCCGTCTCTCCAGGGGTCACGTCTCTTTGACTCAAAGTCAAGAAACAGGCTTTTCTCGGCTGGGCGTGGTGCCTCACGCCTGTAATCTCAGCACTTTGGGAGGCCAAGGCGACGGATCGCTTGAGGTCAGGAGTTCAAGAACAGCCTGGGCAACATGGTGAAACCTCATCTCTGCTAAAAATACAAAAATTAGCCGGGCGTGGTGGTGCGTGCCTGTAATTCCAGCTATTCAGAAGGCTGGGGCAGGAGAATTACTTGAACCCGGGAGGCAGAGGTTGCAGTGAGCTGAGATCACACCATTGCACTGCAGCCTGGGCAAAAGAGTGAGGATCCATCTCCAAAAAATAAAAGGAATAAGGGGGGGGAGAAAAGGCTTTTCTCTTGCTGTAAAGAACATTTGCACGGAAATTGTGTAAACTGACTAATAATGCATGTTAGCAGAGGGCGCTGAGTCATGCTTTTGATCAAGGTCCCGCGGTTTTTCCTTCTCGTGTAACTGAAAGTTGCTGAGTAATTAGTGAGGGGAAAAGTATCAGGGGCCAGGCGAGGTGGCTCACACCTGTAATCCCAGCACTTTGGGAGGCCGAGGCGGGTGGACTCACCTGAAGTCAGGAGTTCAAGATCAGCCTGGCCAACATGGTGAATGAAACCTCATCTCTACTAAAAATACAAAAATTAGCCGGGCGTGGTGGCGGACACCTGTAATCCCACCTACTCGGGAGGCTGAGGCAGGAGAACTGCTTGAACCCGGGAGGCGGAGGTTGCGGTGAGCCGAGATCATGCCACTGCACTCCAGCCTGGGGTACAGAGTGAGACTCCGCCTCAAAAAAATAAAAATAAAAAAAAACACTCAAACGACAATGTCCCCGGGTCCACAGTCTGAAATTCTGGGATGCAGCACGGTGGGAGCTTCAGATTCCAGGATTTGTTGTATGTGAGGATGGGACGTATTCCTGAATGTAGGAATGGAGTCAGTGAAATAAAGCAGTGTCGGGCCGGGCGCGGTGGCTCACGCCTGTAATCCCAGCACTTTGGGAGGCCGAGGCGGATGGATCACGAGGTCAAGAGATCGAGACCGTCCTGGTCAACTTGGTGAAACCCCGTCTCTACTAAAAATACAAAAAATTAGCTGGGCATGGTGGCGCGTGCCTGTAATCCCAGCTACTCGGGAGGCTGAGGCAGGAGAATTGCCTGAACCCAGGAGGCGGAGGTTGCAGTGAGCGGAGATGGCGCCATTGCACTCCAGCCTGGGTAACAAGAGTGAAACTCCGTCTCAAAAAACAAAAAAAAAAAAGAAAGAAAAAGAAAAAGAAACAAATCAGTGTCCTCCCACCAGTTTCTGTGCGTTTCCGCAGACACAGTATGGGGGACAATCCCGTTTTCGGAGCACTGGCCAGTAGCAGAAGGGACTGTGAGTTTGCTTGTCCCTGGTGAGCCAAGGGCTGGAGTCACACCGTCTCTCCTGAGCCTCACCACGACAGGGGGACGACTCGAAGCCCCATTTTCATATGGGGAAACTGAGTCTCGGGTCCGTTGAGGGAATTGCTGTGGGTTGTGCGATTCTCTCGGCCGTCCTGGTGAATGGCAGACTGGGATTCGAACTCAGTTCTGTTTCAGTCCAGAGCCTGTGGGTTTGCATTTTTTGAGGCAGGGTCTCTCTCTGTCACCCAGGCTGGGGTGCAGGGGCGCGATCTCAGCTCACTACCACCTCCGCCTCCCAGGTTCGAGTGATTTTCCTGCCTCAGCCTCCTGAGTGGCTGGGATTACAGGTGGCTGCCACCACGCCTGGCTAATTATAATTTTTGTATTTTTATTTTATTTATTATGCCTGGAGCTTCCTTCACCCTGCCTGAATAATTATAATCATCATAATAAAAATTACAGCAAGCATGATTTAAATCCTACCCTCTTTCCAAGCCCGAGCCAAGAGACTATGTATCCCCGGTTAATCCTCACAGAGCCTATGATTTTCCCCATGTGCAGATGAGACATGGAGGATCAGAGAGGTCAAGTGCCTTGCCTAGAGTCACACAGGAAGTAGCGCAACCTCCGCCTCCCGGGTTCAAGCAATTCTCCTTCCTCAGCCTCCGATGTAGCTGGGACGACAGGCCTGAGCCACCACACCTGGCTAATATTTGTATTTTTACTAGAGACGGGGTTTCACCATGTTGGCCAGGCTGGTCTCGAACTCCTGGCCTCAAGTGATCTGCCCCCTCCTCAGCCTCCCACAGTGCGGGAATAACAGGCCCGAGCCACCGCGCCCATCCAGGACTGGCCCTTTTGAGCTTCTTTCCCCCGACTGTCTTCCAACTCTCAGATCTTGAGTTCCCCCCAGAAGTGCAGAGAACAGACAGAATTGTCACCAGGCAACAGTCGGCCTCATTTTGTTGTCATGAACTGACTTTTTTCCCCTCTTCTGTTTTGTTATAGGAAAAACACGATAATCCCGTTGCCACCCGCAACTTCGTGAGTCAGGAATGGGCCATAGCCCATAACCAGTCTAAAGAGCTGTAACCAGAGACCCCTCTTTGCACCCATGGCTGTCCTGAAGCCACAAAGGATTCTGGGACCTCTCCAGGGCCCTCGTCCCACTACCCCCTGCCAGCCCCCAGCTCCTGGGTAGACATGGCGGGGGTGGGGGGGATCTGTTATGGGACACCCACCGAAGGCTGTGGGGCCCAGACGGGAAGTTCCTGCTTCCTTTGGGGCATGGAGGAGAGGAGGAAGTGGAACCGGTCAGATGCCAGGAAGGAACTGGGTTAACCGTGCCAAGCCCTGGCCCTCACAAGGCAGCTGGGGGCAGCCATGTGCAGAGTCCAGCACCAGCCCTCACAGGACTCGTGGCTGCCAGGGACCTGGGGAGCCCGGCTGGGCAGCCAGAGGGGGCGGGAGGCTCGGCCTCTCAGTCCCGCTCTGGCTCAGGATGGAT